GTCTTTGATTATTAGTTGAATTTAGTAATATATTTGCTCAGTTTTAAATCCTAATGATTTTGTATCCTTTTTAAAATGTAGCTTTTTCTATTTATATAACTACTTTAGGGATGTTAACAGATCTCTTTCCTGAAAAATATCTAACTTCTAAATTATGTTATTTAGAGATTCATGATCTACTATTTAAACTAAAATGATTTTTAATATGTTGTTTCATTTCTAGTATATTTTAAAAGGAGTTTGAAAAGTATAGGATATGGATTTATTAGTAGACTTGGGTTCTACTAAGAAAATATGTACTCTGCCCTGACTCAGTAAACTCATACTTAGTATGGTTCAGCTTCTTCATATTTACTCTTGCCCACATTAGAAAACAATTAGCTTACTAAACAAATTTGAGTATTTGGTGGGGAGTAGGGATGATCCTCTCTGAATCTTTCTCATTTGACTAAGAATTATAGGATATTTGATAACCATGTTTAAAAATGGAGATATCCAAATATTATTGTAAACACCCAATGATTTGTTTTACCTACAATATAAGTATTTTACTTGGTTGGCTTACATAGTAGCTAATAATATTTGTTAATGTAATTTAACTGCTGTGAACCTTTACTGAACAAATATTGAAATTTATTCAAGTCAAAGAAAGAGAATCTCTAATGACTTTTGTTAAAGCTTCTATTTAATAGTTAAGGAGAAAAGTTTGTATGACATACGAGATGCAATTAACAGTAGATTTTACATTTAATAAAAAGAAAGAAGCATGCGTATTTGCTTTATTCATTCCATCATAATTTGCATTAGAGCTGTGGGTGTTTAATGAGCAAATTCCAACTAAAATGCTATATTGATTTTCTAGTGAACTTTGTAATAGTCATCTACCTTGGAAAAGCTTAGTGTTTACAATTAAGTTTTCTATACTGAAAATGTTTGAGAGTTGCATATTGACCCTTTAAAAATACTAAATTCCAGAAAGAATTAGATTTTTCATTACTAAACATTTTTTTCATGTAGCCAAATACATGTAAAATTATCATTTATTAATAACATAATTTTGGAA